GCTATTGCAAGTAATTTTTTTATTTATTTATCCTCTCTTCAGGTCGTGTCATTCTTGTCAACTTTTTTTGTCATTCTTTCTACGGTTGCTTTGTGTCTAAACACAATCAACGGTTTACGCCTGAAGCAAAGCAATGGCATCACGAGTGACAACCCCCATCTTGCCGTGGTTGAGGCTGTCTGTATAACGTGGTTCACGTTTGAATACATCACTCGACTCATATCAGCACCCAACAAAATATCCTTCATAAAAAATGTCATGAACACCATTGACCTTCTCGCTATCCTTCCCTACTTCATTACTTTGCTATTCGAGGCCTTTGATAACCAAGTGGATGAGAGACTTATAGACATAAGGAGGTTCGTACAGATCTTGAGGATCTTGAGAATCATAAGAATTTTCAAAATGGCGAGGCACTCGATCGGGCTTCAAACCCTTGCATACACATTCAAACATAGCTCAGCTGAGCTTGGTCTTCTTCTTTTGCTTCTCTTGATGGGAATGACATTGTTCTCTTCACTGGTTTACTTCGCCGAGGAGACAGATCCAGGCTCTCATTTCAAGTCAATCCCAGAGGCCTTTTGGTGGGCTATCATCACCATGACAACAGTTGGTTATGGAGACATGCATCCGACAACGCCTATTGGTAAATTCATTGGCTGTCTCTGCTGCACTTCTGGTATAATATTCATTGCGCTTCCGATTCCAACCATTGTGGGGAATTTCTCTCAGTTCTACAAGGACCAAAGGAAGAGCGCAGAAGTTTTAAGGAGGTTATCGAAGGTAGAAGATGGATTATTGGAGACACCGATCGCAGCAGATGCAGAGCACGACAAGCTGGTTGAGCTTGAATCAGCATAAGGAATTAAATAATTATTCCAACAACAACAACAAACCAAAAAAAAGATTCATAGATAGCCATTTTAGAGTTCGTTGGTCACTGATTTAAAAAAAGATTCTCTACTTAAATATCCCTGTATTTTCGGATATGATCGTGAAAGATGGAAACTTCACCTCTCTTTTTCCTGCTTGCTCCAATAGGYTCTATCTGTTTTACATTTTGCGGATTCTTATCTGTTCTATTCTGCTCTGCAATACTTTGCTATACTTTCATCCTTATTTACACTCTATTTTGCTTCATTTTACTGACTTTATTAATTCTCAGCTCTATGACCAACTCCACCCGAATTTACTCTTTCAGGTTGCGCTTGTTCTGTTTCTCTTAACTGATTCTGATGTTATATCAGACTTTATCGTAACGTGATACGAAAAAAACTGTAAAACTATTTAGAAATGTCTTCAAACGATCTCCGTTGATCCTAATAAAAAACAGATAAACGTTGAAGCTTTATTAATGCCGATGTTTGATAAGTCACGGAACTATATTCAGAGATGCAGTTGCGTTAACTTAACAAGAATTCAGTTGTAACAAAGACCGGACAAAGACTCTTTAAATTATTGGTTACAACAATTTTTTCTCACATTTCTCGATAACGTGTCATTCCATTGAGGTATAAATTCTTTGATTAGCGTTTAATGTTCGAGATAGTGCAAAGTAAAAAATGATCGATGTTTAGTTGGCTAATGATGAATTGATAAAATCCTCCCTCCAAATTACAAAAAGATGGCTATAGTTTTGAAGTCTGACAGTTAACCTCTCATCTATCAAGTGTCCATGTATAGATACCCATCGTTCCCGTCGTGCGATGAATCAAAGGCGGTCATCTCTTATGCGGGTTAGTAAAATGTTCCACCACAATAATCAGTTAAAGGTCACTGGTTACATTTCTTGGATATGTAGAACTGCGGGACGCCATACTATAGTAGAATATACTGAGGATTTTTGTGGAAACGTTCTTGGTTGTCCCGGAATTTTTCGCGTCGGTTACAGCTTGCACTGGCCATAACCCTATACTATAAATATAACACGCGGTAGAATCATGTCTCATGACATGTTTGAGGGGAGGGAGTTGGTGGTGGGGGG